ACATGTAATTCAAGGATAACTGGATAAGAGAAAAGGCACTGATAATTTCTGCTTCTTGGTGCTTATGTTATTATGCTGGTGTCTATTACTTTTGGTCTCTCTGCTTAGTGTTTTATGTTTAGCATTTGTGTTAAGCAAGACCTATATTGGAAAAAAATTTCATGCATTTATTCCAGGATTTTGGGTTTTGCAACAGGATGAAATTCATTTAATGAGTCTTGTGACTAGTGGACCAAACTGGTTACGCATGATCTGCTGTATTGGTATTTAGGTCCCAGATGGCTTGATGCATCATTGTCCACTTCTTTTCTGGCATCAATGTCCTGACACATCAGTACTTATTTATGATAAAATCTTAACTCATTTATCAAGTGAACTAGAGTTTTTTTCTTTTTCTAATAATTGGAGAGGGGGAAGCATGGGGGTGGGCAAGGTGTCACTAGCAGTATCTTGATGCTTATGCATAATGCATTAATGCCTTGGTGGCGTAGCTACTTATCTCCATTGTGTAAGACAAATGTTTCACAAGTTAATAGGCAAATAAATGATGGGCAAGTGTATCTGCATATGAGGTTTTATAGTAGATTAGTTCCATTCATTCTATATTGTTTATTTCCAATACAAGGTTAAAATACATCACTGCATACATGACTAAGCCATTTCCAAGGCAAAACATCATTCCTATGCCATGACACCTGTCACTGCACCAGGATAGTGCTGGCTCTAATTCTTGAACCTGTATGTGTGTTTAATTCGTTGATTCTGGTAAGAATCTGAACCACTTCATTGTTTCTCTTATCAGATAAGTTTGGAGCTGTTATGGCCCTTGTAAAGTCTGATATTGGTGGTAACATTTCAGTAAGATGCTTTTCTTGTTTAATTCCACATGTATGATATGTCCTTGCAGAAGGGAATGTAGTTGCTTTTTCCTGTCTGAGCAAATGTTCTTATAACATTACTGGCAATAACTCCAATTTTTTTAAGATGTTTTGTCATGGAATTTGTAAACTCAGCTTTCCTTGTTGCTGCTGCTTCTGATTGTCCCTAGAGATATTTGTAGTCAGAAGTTTTAAGTTTATGGGAAATTACTTTGGAGATTGACTGGTGCTTTTTTATTTTTCTCTTTCAACTAAATTTGAATGCCAAGCTGTAGTTCTCAGTCTGTTTAGTAAAATTGAATTTATTTTAATAAATAGTGTGTCCTTTTCTCTACTCAATTTTGTGATTCTTGCATTTTGGTTCTATACTTACACTCGATAATGGAATTGGTTTTCAGAGGTTGGAAGCCAAATACAAAACCAATCCGTCCAAATATAAACACTTGTATAGTATTATACAGGAAGAGGTTGATGCTAAAACAGGATCATATTTTTATGCCAGTGGTCTTCTTTGGTTAACAAGGTACACATGCATAAAATTTTTGTATGGATCTATGTATCATTGCACTATTCCTTTCATCAGTGTTGTCCAATTTGATGAACAACATATTATCTTATTAGTTTTCAATTTTTCATGATTTTCAGAGCAATGGATTTCCTTGCAGTATTGTTCCGCAACTTGCTTGCTCATTCCAATTGGACAATGTCACAAGCTTGTACAGACTCTTATGGCAAGACTCTAAAAAAATGGCACGGGTGGCTTGCTCGTTCAAGTTTCACTGTATTTT